GCAAAATTAATAATTACCAAAAACAAATGTCTCTCCTGATGATCACCACTGCGCACGGAAATTTTCACTATACGTCCTTCTTTTACTAATTCACGAGTCGCGCTGACTAGATCAGTCGCATCGTATATACTTTCCTGAATTTCCAAGAGTTTCTTAAATTTATCGATTTTTTTCATTGCTTCGTTCGTGTGATTCGTAGCGGGACACCAATTCAAGAGCCTCTGAAATTTAGTATTAAGAAAATGTTACAATTAATTGATGCGATTATAAAAATTGCATTAATCTTAGTTTTTATTAATAAGTTTAATATTTCTCTCTCTTTCTCTATTACTAAATTATTAGTAATAGAAAATCTCATGTAGATACATAGAATATGCGTAGAATCCTGTAATAAGTATTAAAAGATAAACTTGCTTACCTTTTGTATCTTCATCATCTGGGTTATCTTCTGTGAGATTTCGTAAGTAATACTTGAGAAGCAGCTCCTATCTCGGTAACCTTTGTATCGGGCTCAACATATGATGAGGTAACGATAATTTAGCGCACTCATCAAAGCAATCAATAATAGCGCATTCATCTTCTGCATTTCATTAATAATCGCCGCAAATCTGGGTACCTTATTTTGCAATGAACTTATCAAATTCATAGTGTAATCGAAATTCTTCACATACTCCGTGTATATCTTAAGAAATGGTGTGAAGTTTTTCATTATATCGCCGATTCTTGGATTCGAATCCCAGTACTGCATTCTCTTCTCGAATTGCGGTAACAGGAAGTCATTGTGAAACTTATAAATTGACTTAATATTGGAGAACATTTGCTGGACAATCTCTGGAGGAAACATGGGATGTGCTCTATTCTCTTGATCGACTCTGAATTGGAACACTTGATCGATCATATGCAGAATGTTTACATAATTCTTCTCGGTCGCAAGCAACTCCTGCGCCACGTGCAGTGCCTTTTTTCTTTCCGAATCAGGGGAACTCTTCTTTGGAAGCAACTTGGACTCTGATATCGATATGTCTTCCGTATGATCTGCTACTATCGCGGAGTCTGTCTCTGAAGACCTCGTTTCCTCCGACTCCTCTTCGCTCTCGGATTCGCTTATTGCGTATGTATCTAATGTATATTGATGAGACCTTCTCTCTGAAGCAACGTACCTATGCTTATATTTGGAAATATGCGTATGAGAACTTTTCTAATCAGAGACTGGAATACACTATGTCCTTCCTGCGATCAAGTCTGCACTCATCTGCTGCTTCTATATTCTAGGACACTATGCGACATCTTAATGTAGGATGTTTCTGTTGAAATTTCCTCGTGCCTCGTGATATCAATGCACTCGGCCGACATGACAAACGGTTGAAATCTCGGGAAGCCGCCGAAACTGGCGATCATGTGGAAGGAACTGTAATGATACGTACGCATTTGTATCGCGCGCGTATTTCTCAGGTACCGACTCAAGGTACGGAAACGATACGTATACCAACGCTATCTGATACGTCAGTCCTGTTTCGATCTTTTTCCGGTAGCCGAGTAGCGTGGGTACCGTCCAATGTGGTGACAAGCAGTGACGAGCAGATTGATCGATCTAATTAATATCAAAGGTGTGGTGGATCGATATAGATACACACAAGTACGGCCGCCGCAGCCCCCACATGGGCAGCGCGGCGCCGCTAGCCGAGCCGCCACCGCAACCGCTAGAGCCTCCGCGCGGCGCCGTTCGGCGGCGCGCACACGGAGGGGTTTTCTCGCGAGAAAATTATAATTAGCAGACAATAAAAGCCGCACTCCGCGAGGGGTCGACACACTCCGCCGCACGGGCATCTCTGAGCGTCTCTTGCAATAGCTAGAGAGCTATCGGCATTGACTACAAGCCACATCTCCGCTGAAGAAGCGGTAGCACCTCTCGGCGCTGTAGAAGCGCCCCGGCATCCGCTGCAGAAACGCCCCCAGCCTCCGCTGCAGAAGTGGCCTCGAGGCCCCAGACGCCGTAGCGGCGTCTCCCAGAGTAACCACGCCGAAGACGTCCCAACCGGCCGGTTCCCCGACGCGGGCATCTGCACAGAGACCGAGACGGAGAACGGGACTACGGCAACGTCTCGAGGAACTCTTCGGGGGCAACTCCCCCGAAGCCATAGCCGTCGGGCCGACCCTCAGAACACATGAGGGTCGTTCACCCCGGCCGCAGACCCCATCGCCTACGCGGGCCCTGACTCCGTCCCCTCTCAATTGGGGGCCACCCCGGTCACCCATACCGGCCACCCCCAGGACGGAAGCCCTCACCCCGTGGAGGCTCCTAAGGATCTACCTCCCCCGGCGGCTTCTGACACGGCCCCCAGTGGCAACGCTTGCCTACGGCGACTCGCAGGTTGGATGCCCAGTGTCTCCTCGCTTCGCTCGTGGAGACGAGCGTCAGGAAAATAAGGAGAACCGAGACATATCGATGAGAAGTCCCAGGCAGGGGAGGATTCGTCAGCGGGAGCACCACCTCCATAAAGCGAGACTTAACTCTGCGGCGCGACGTACCCTAAGAAAGTTAACACGTACATACTCACACACACCTACACCTGTATATAGCCGGCCTACACAAGAATAAAATATTTATATAAAAAGAATACAAAGAGTGCTATTAATATCACAACCTCCCCGCGAGCGAAAGATCACCGAAAATAACTCGATCCTCCAAATTGGTGACCCCGACGTGATCCTCGCGGGGGAGAGAGAAATGCCGATAGAGCGTTCGCCAACACGGGCTTCCGAAGGCTCACAAGCCGAGGACGATTTCCTCGGGCGAGCCTTTTCTTAATCGCGCGACCACTCCGCGGACGAGACACGATACATTACTAGTCGATACGCGACACAAATAAATTTTGGAGCAGATGGTCAATCTTACAAAATTCGGCGACGGCCCTTGCGTCGGCGGCGACGTCGGCGACGATGACGGCAGCGGCGACGATCTTCTCTCTCTCCCTGCTCTCTCTCTCTCTCGCCCTTCGCTCTCTCTCTCCTCGCTCTCCCATCGCCTTGCTCTCTCGCTCTCGTCCTCACCCGGTCTCTCTCTCGCTATCCTCTCTCTCTCTCTCACTCTCTCTCACTCTCTGCGGCACGCTTGACGGAATTGAAATCTGTTCGCGGCGGTAGTCGCGGTAAGGCTGTCAGCTGATTTTTCCTGGGAGGATCGCGTATCCTCGCGGATCCTCCCTCGTCGCTGCCCCCCTCGTCCTGTGGTGGTCGGTCGTCGAGAATCGGCATATTTCGGTACTCTTGTCTCGAGACACTTTTCGTCTCGAGACACTGTTGTCATCGGGAGTTCGCCTGTTGCCTCTCTCGGCTCTCCCGTTTTTTTCTGCCGGGTTTCTCACGACGGTTGCTTCGCTAAAAGTAAACACAGTTGATCCGTCTAAGCGCGATACTGTGTTATAACTACGATAGTTTCTCAGCGATAGAATATTCGCTATTGCTGAGCGCGCGATAATCCGCGATAATATATTTTAATCACAAAAGTACGAGAGTGCGATTCACCTGACTAAGGGCTTCGCTAGTTGTCGTCCGCTGCATCCTCGCTCCTCGATGTCCTCCGCTCCTCGTCCTGGTGGCCGGCAAGGGACGCCGAGGGGCACAAAGTTCGGGACGCGCTGACCTTCGCATCTGCTCCGCTCGCAAAAATCGCTTCTTCGCATTGTTCTAAGATCTTCACAATAAACATTCGACGGAACGCGATATTCGGAAAAGTCTTGAAAAACCGTTAGCAACGCGACACGCGAAAAACATTCTCACGAATTCGGTACGGGATTTTTGAGACGGGCGCCTCCACGGCTGCCACGTCACAATGTTGATACAACATTAAAAACTATATATTAAAAAACATTACACATTACTAAATATCGTTGCAATAATAACGTTCTATTCTAATGATTTTTGCTTACTGGACAGAACGCTTTCTTAAGACATTTTCCATGTCATTATGATATGTTTGAAATAATATTTTGTCATGTCATTTTGTGATGTCTCTAATGTTATCACAAGCGCTTTGAGTAAAACGTAATTGTTTGCGACGAGAGAGAGAGAATTTTATTGAATTTTATTTTATCATGTTTTTTCTTTTATGGATCGATAGATACAATATTTCGCATTAAGTGATTACAGTGAGACCGGTAATACTACATGGGCTGAAAAGTCCCGGGATTTTTAATGAAAACAAACGTTTTTTGGGCAAAGTTATATTTATTCCTCAACATAGTTGCCTTCGAGTGCGATACACTTGGTATAGCGATTTTCCAACATTTTGATGCCCTTTCTGTAGTACGAAACGTCCAAGCCTTCGAAATACGCCTCGGTTTCCGCGATGACTTCCTCATTCGATGTGAATCTCTTTCCCTGGAGCCACCGCTTGAGGTTTGGGAACAGATAATAGTCGCTGGGGGCCAAGTCTGGAGAATACGGCGGGTGAGCAACCAATTCGAATCATAATTGGTCCAATTTGGCCATCGCTTTCAAGGACGTGTGTGACGGTGCGTTATCGTGATGGTACAGAACTTTTTTCTTCGCCATATGGGGCCGTTTTTTCTTTATTCCGTCGTTCAGTTTGTCCAATAACGCTGCATAATACTCTCCCGTAACTGTTCTTCCCTTCTGCAGGTAATCGATGAAGATTATACCATGTGCATCCCAAAAAACGGAAGCCAAAATCTTCCCGGCCGAACGTTGGTCTTTTGGCCGCTTTGGTCGGCTTTCGTGGCTTTTCAGCCACTGTGCAGACTGCCTATTGGACTCAGGCGTATGGAAATGGATCCACGTTTCATCCATCGTCACAAGACGTCGAAAAAAGTCCGCTCGATTACGCTGCAACAACGCCAAACCGGCCGTTGAATCATCAACACGCTGCTGTTTTTGGTCGACGATCAGCAAACGCGGCACCCATCGCGCAGATAGCTTTTTCATATCCAAAACATCGTGCAAAATGTATCCCATCCGTTCTTTTGAGATGCCAACGGCCTCAGCTAACTCGCGCAACTTCACTTTACGATCACTCAAAACGATTCGATGCATTTGCTTTACGATTTCCGCATTCGTAGCCTCTTTTGGTCTTCCAGAGCGAGGTGCGTCTTCGGTGCTTGTACGGCCCATTTTAAATTCACTAAACCATCAATAAACTGTTGTTCTCGAAGGAGCAGATGTGGGGTAACATTTCATCAACTATTTCATTGATTGTTCAGGAGTTTTTCCCATCAAAAAACAATGTTTGATCAATATGCGATATTCCTGTTTTTCCATTTTTTTTTACGAAGGCAAAGCGACACTTAAACGATTGTAGCTTTTAAACGAATGAACGAAATGTCATGAAACTTCACACATAAACTAGTGACAGATGAACCTCTCGAAATAAATCATGTTCATTTTCTAGTGGCGCCACCTATTGAAAAATCCCGGGACTTTTCAGCCCATGTAGTACATAATGTAAATATCCAACAAGAGATTCAATATGAAATCTGATAATGTTAAATTTTGCGTATAAATAAGCGAGACGTAAAAGCAGATGGTTAGTTATTTAATTTTTCTGATCCAAAAGAATTACGAAACGTTCTCTGATTTTTATTCGTATAACGCAGTAAGTTGATTATTCATTTCTATTTTGTTGATAATAATTTATTGATCTGTCATTCTCTATTTCTATTTTTCCAATAATATATATAATTTATTATCGATTGAAATTTTTTTCTTTACTTATAAAGAAATATTAGTCAATTTCTTTAGTATTACGTTACACGATATATTCTTAAGTGATAAATTGTAATACGTATCTCAGTCTTTTGAGTTGATCAATTTGAGAAAGAATTTCGTGTAAGATGTCATACTCAGTTTTTAAGTTTTTAAAACCTTTGAGTTTTTAAATCAAACTATTTAACAAATTAAGTAGTGAATTTTTTTCAGGCATAATTTATATCTTTTGAAGATAATAAAGCGAATAAAGTAAAATCTTTCGCGTTTTGCAAGAGATTTTATACTTTGAAGTCGGAAACAGTGTTGGAAATACGAAAAATAGGCCTAGCCCCTAAAAAGCAACCTAAAAAGATCACGATGACATTAAAACAATTTCAGTCGATTTTTTTTTTCATTAAGATATTATCTGTTCCACTTGGGAATCTTCGAAAATCGCTTTAATTATACAAATAATTCCGATCATTGAATTTTAATTACCAATCAGTTAAAGAAATTTAAATATAAAATCTAAATGACATCCGTTTTTTTTTCAAATTGTAACTAATGATTGATCTTTTTTTATTCTTTTTAGTTTATCCCGTTCATATCTAATCGTACGATTGATTTTAATTATAATTATCATATCAAATAGATGGCTTATAAGTATCTTATAATTAATTCAACTTCCAGTTGACTACGTACTACTTAATTTATACTAGTCGATATCAGTATAAATTAAGGTGCCGTCTCTTTGCGAAGTCAGTCGTACAAGTTCGCTTGAAGCAAACAGACGGCTTAACAAAAGTGTAAAAAATTCTTCCCACGATGGAGACGATAGAGTCGACGAACTGTTCCTTAATTTACTGCACGACGGCATTAGCGATATTCATCGGCCTCTTCTATGCATACGCCAAATACAAATTGTCTTACTGGAGCAGACGCGGAGTCAAAACTCCTCCCACGCACTTGATCTTCGGTAACTTTAAAGACGCGCTTCTTTTCAAAAAACCGCCCGCGGAAATGATGCGCGAAATCTACGACAGTGCCGATCCAGAAGATCCTTACATCGGCTTTTACATCTTTCACAAACCCATGCTACTTTTGCGGGATCATGATCTCATCAAGCAAACGATGGCTACACACTTCGATATTTTCCCGAATCGACGATTCGGTTCGTCAACTGAAACGGACTTACTGGGTTTGCGTAATCTCTTCTCCATTACATCCCAGCCAGTTTGGAAATATTTGAGAACCAAGTTAACTCCAGCTTTAACCGGACAGAGGTTGAAGGCCATGATGCCGCTAATAATGCAGTGCAGGGAACATTTGTTGACATATATCGATGGATTACCAACGGATGAGAATGGTTGGACGGAGCCTCAAGACACGCTAGAAATTTCATCCCGTTATATCAATGATGTTTTCGCCTCTGTGATATATGGTACCGACGTGAATTCATTTGACGTTAACAATAGCGACTTTTTCGAAGCAGGTAAAATTTTTTACTGTTCTTAATCGACGTGAAATTATTAAAAACTGTCATTGTAGTCGATTGATAATCACGCGTTATATCTATGCGCTTTTTATATATAACAATCAATTACTGTTAATTTGGTTTATAAACAATAAGTGAACATTGGTTATTTAATTATAATTATTAATTAATTAATTAATAACAATTAATAGTTAATTAATTAATTAATTTAAATATTAACCCTTAGAGTATAGAGCTCCTATTCTACAAGGTCCTCTAAAAGTCTTAGAACGCTAAAATATCTCAAAAATAATACATTTTGGGAAAAAAAGTCTCAGATAAAAGTTGTAGGTTTTAGAATGACCTACTTACGCGGAAAATGATCTACACTTACTTCTCAGTTTGTGCGGTATCACCAAAGCAAAGTCATGTTAAACTTTTTAAATGGAACCTCCTACTTTTTATTGCATATTCTTGTAGCTTATCTCGAGAGTTTCCCAAAACACAATAATAACGTATTTTTTCATTAAATACTTTTTAAGTAATGAAACTTGAAAATTATAATACCGCCGGCATTAGCATTACCCCCCCCCCCCCCC